TTTTAACAGTGGCACGACGACCTGTCACCTGGGTTTCACAAATTTCACCAACCGACTTTCGTGTTCCAATCGTATCTCGCTACATTTCGATGCTTCGCATCCACATCTTTGCGGAGTGTATTCAATCTCTAGGTGAATGGGCCAGAGGTTCGGGTCAGCCCTTTCAGCTGCCTCGTTGGCCTCGGGCGACGCGATGCGTCGGGTAATTGCTGCTGCGCGGAGTACGATAAAGCAAGACGGCGGTCTTGGTTGGTCCTGCCTAACAGACCTCTCCCTTCTTCCCGCGACGCCCTCAGCACCCGCCCCTCGAGTCGAGCTCCTTTTGTCGAGTCTCCAGCCGCCGAACAGCACGGCGGCCTTGAATTTGGACCGACAACAACACCTCGTCCTCATGACTAATGCCGGACTGTCCTCTTTAAATATTGATGTTGCAGATAGGCTCTCCTCAAACTCTTGGGGAACAACAATGGTGGAGGAAAGTGGAGGGGGGGCCTCCTCTGTAGTAGGGCACCATGAGTGAGGGGGGTAGGTAAATGGGGTGGTTGGGAGAGGAAGGAGACGAGGGGGCACGGAGAAGCAGAGAGGACGGAATTAGAGGGGCGGCGGCGGGTTGCAGGCCCGAGCGCCCGAGCTGAGCAAAGAGGCGCGAAAAATTACAAATTTAATGAAAGCGCTTTGCTTAAATGAGGCTCTTATATGACTTTACTGTGCGAGGGCGGCGGCCTCGAGGAGTGAGTAGAGGAGGGGTCCATAGCCGGGACCCGGCTGGGGGCAGGGGCTTACGGCTTGCCGGACACGGAGCGCCTAGAAATAAGAAAAGAGAAATAGACATAACATAAAATGTTGATCACACATGCCCACGATTCACCTCACGTTTTTCTGAACATGTTGACCCTGTGAGTCTTGCAGCTGTTTCTGTCACAGAGAACGTGACAATAACGGAAGCGCACCTCACAAACGTTGCGTCGTTCGTGGCCTTTCTTGCCTGAACAACACCTTAATGCCTCATTCACCCCTACGTCCCGCCCCGCCCCGCTCCGCCCTTCTCGCTTTGCACTTGGCTGCTGTTGCTTACGAGCGTGGCCTCACTTCGCCCATCCACTCGGCTGCGTTTAGGCTCCACGGAGCGTCTCTCTCTCTTTCCCTCTCCCTCCCCCTCTCCCTCTCCCTCTCCCGTGTGTTTGCACGCGCGGGGGAGATAAGTTGCGACTCCAAACAAATGAGAAGAGCGATTATTAGAAGGCATGCCTCGCCTGCGCACGCTTAGGGGGCCCGTAACTGGCGTGGCGTGGCGTGGCGTGACGCAGCGACAGTGAAGAATTCTGCGCTGCCGCGGTGCGGTGCACGGCCGGTCCTTGCTCCGGGCGAGGGGGGAAGGGGGGGGGGGGCTCTGTCTCAGGACTCACATGGAAAGACAAGCGCGGAGGGACGAGGGAGGCAATCCTGTAAATGCGCTCAGCGCTTTCCACTACCACTGTCATGCCTGCTTGTGTGTGTGTGTGTGTGTGTGTGTTTGTGTGTGAGTCAGAGAGAGAAGAGAGGGGTATGGGGGGTTGTTTAACAGCAGTAGCGGTAGTGGAAGACTGAGGACAGTCTCCACGTTGGCTTGATGAGGGGTTCTTCAACTTGCACACCGTCATGTCCCCACCCTCGCGTACCCGTCTTAGACAACGCCAGCAAGAGACCGTACATATACCGCGTGGACAAAGAAATGGGGGAGGGGATTCCGAAATGTCCACAATTGTCCACAGGGGGAGGGGGGGATTTAGGTGGAAGGAATTTCCTAGACATTTACTGTAAACATTATGAAATACAACCATTTTGTTTGTTTTCGAATTGGATTTTAACAGCCTATGCTGCTAAGACGAATTTAAGTTAAAAAATTTGTGGCATTTTGAATAAATTTACCATAGAGCTTGGCAAAATAGCGTAAAGAATCGATATTTGATTTTCCACGCCGGTAAAGGGGGGGGGGGTAAGCAAATGTCCACCTGGTATATGTATGGGATCCAATAGGGTACCGAAACAAAACCGTTTCGTCTCGCGTTTCGTTTTCCGCAACGGAATGATGATCACTTCGCATCGCTAATCCCAACAAAATTCTCGGTAGAAGTTGGACCGATAATTTTATTTTAGCGACGGAATCTTCGTAGCACTGGTATAACAGGCTCCACTTTACGCCAGCTGCTCAGCTAACCTGAAATATAAATTTTCCCATCTACAAGAATGCAAATCAATATATTCACGTCTAGCCCGTAAAATACAGGCAAAGGTGAGCGTAGCTGGCTCCGGGAGAGAGATTTCGTGAATCCAATTTGATCACTCCTATGACTCCATAAGGGGATCAGGACGGTTCACCCAATGCCCTTCACCCAAAACAAAAGCGCCCAAAACATTTTCGCCCGCTATAATTTTACACCCACCTCACCTCTATAAGAGTGATCTTGGCCAAGATGACTCAAATGGAGCGATGTTTTCGTAAAACAGATGCATCCATATCACTCTTAATGAGCGATGTAAAACTAGGTCACTCTATTTGGGTGATGTAGAAACACATCACTGAATTTTGGCGAGAAAGGTGACCCACCTTTGCAGTGTAGCAAGTGAAATTCCTGCAAGGGAGCAAAACTGTTTGGATCAACCATATGAGTAGCGAACGACATTCGTGCTCTTTAGGTTTCCAGTCTGGGCCACGCTGAGTCAACAAGAGACTTGCTAAAAGCAGCGGGGGGTAGCAGCTCAAGCGGAAGCTTCTGCTGCGAGCAGCAGCAGCAACCGTAGCGGTAGCGAGTGAGTGAGCGGAGGCGGGAGGAGGGACCATTACAAAGTTAAATTCTTGAGGTGAGATAAAACATGGCTCGGAAAATTAGAAGCAGCCGCGGCGGTACTCTGCTGCAACGGCGGCGCCGTCCCTAGGGCACAAGGAGCGAGGGCAAGACCGGGCCAGACTCACGAAGCTTCAGCCCGTGCTACAACTAGAAATTTTAAACGAACTAACTCTGCAGTGCATCACTGTGAAAAATGTTTGAAAACTTTACACGTACATGTTTTTTTTTAAATATTTTGCCATTGTACAAAATGTTTTACATGTACAACCTCCCACTTTTGTTCGCCTTCGATTCGCGCAGTGCTTGGAAATTTACAATTTTAAATTGTAATCTTACGACATCTCCCTTGGAAAATTTTCTTGTACCAGGTACTACAGTTTTTCACAGTGCAAATCTCAAAAATTCTTCGCAACGTTGCACAGAAAATGCTAGTTTGCAACTCTCTTGCTAGCCCGCGTGTTCGCCCGCTCACTCAGCCCGTGGAGGGGACAAGCTGCGGCGAGATTTACTTTCTCTTGATGCAAGTTTTAATTAAATGGCTCGTGTCTACTGCCGTGTCTCTGCGACCAGAGCACGTGGTGGCTATAGGTACAGAGATGAACCTCGTTATAGAGTAAGACTATAGAATCTAGCTCACTCAAGTTTTGTTTTCTGGCTGCAAGTGTTCCGGGCTTTCGGTGCAGCTCTAAACATGGGGGCGCAGTAAAGACAATAATATGCCCATTGTCTGACCATCCATGTCTCTCCTGTTATCATTCTCGCGCATTTCCGATGAAGTACGAGCCATCAGTGAACATACCACGCGCTGCTCTGCCCCGCTGTGGCTGTGTCCATCTCATCCTGCACTACAAAATGCCTCTAAACAATAGGTTCGTGTATTGCCAGCTGTATTGCAGCAGCTTGCAAAGAATTTCGAATAATTGTATTACAGACTAGTTCTTCACAAGCTGCTTGCAAATAATTTCTTTCCAATACGAACTCACACTTTGCACGAATTCTGACAGCTCGCAAAGATTTTTTTTTCAGTACGAACTAAATTTTTACAAATAAAAAGCTCGAAAATCCTTTGCAGCGTAGTATATAATACCTACAAAATGCGCTTTCTTAAAACGCATTGGATTGTTTGGGCTCTCCAGCCATGACTTGGTCATTCTGTGTGGCATAGTGATTCGTATGGTTCTTTTGCTATGCGTTGATATTTTGTCGTGTCTCACGTTTGTGATCGGGGACGAATAAACATAAACACATCAAAACGTCTCGCATGTCAGTTCGTTCACAATTATTTATTATATAACTATTTATACATTTGTAAGAGAAAGTATATTCGTTGCCACGTTGAATTGATCACTTCGATACAGTTTTTTCATCTCTCACGTGGAGAGGGCTGACGTCATAGTAGTAGATAGATTGATTTGAATTGATTCTAACTACCCTCATAGTATTGATGACAAACTGGCCCTCTATTGTCTGGCACATAAAGTTCAGAAACAAATAACAAGAAAGTTTTTGAATTACCATACGTTTGGATCCACCATTTCCATTCTGTACATTTAGAATATTACCAAGAAAGATATGACACAACCCCTTCTTCTGCTTGAAACTGGTACTATGTCACATCACTCAGTCAGAGGAGACACGTACATGTAACATGTTCTCCCAGCAACTATTACACATAAATTTGATGGCAAGATACTGTTTGCTATGTCCTTTTTTGTGTGCATCGCCATTAAAACAGTGTTACACAACATCGGGCAGTGAGTGCGTATGTAAGTTTTTCCACGACACTTCTTTAGTACAAGAACAGAACGAAAATGAATTGTTTGAGCAAAGTTAATATAAACAAAATGCTAAATTAACATGCTTTAATTTTGCCTGCCGTGGCAAACTTCTAACTTTCCAATTTATCCTGAGCAAACAACATCTAATTCATAAAACAATATCAATTCTTGATCTTTATTTTTCATTTTCTCATTTCTTTTTCCAAACTTTAAATCACAAAAATATAATGTTCTTCCCATCCACTGACCAATTAATGTTCACTAATAATATTTATATGTATAAATGTATATACTACTTTATGAATCACATCACAGTCATATATGAGTCGGGTATCCACACAGGCCGGAAGCACATCCTCACTCGCAAACACACACACACTCACCCTCACTCGCACAGACACTCACACACACTCACCCTCACTCACTCGCACACTCACTCACTCACTCGCTCGCACACTCACTCTCTTTCACACTCCAGAGTGTCCGTGGGAACGCCTGCAGCTGAGTGCCGTCCACCCTGCCGGCAGGGCGGGCCGGGCCGACTCAACAGGCAGACAATACAATACGCTGCAACTATAGAGACTGGGACTCTACCTCTCTTGTCATCGCCTGTCGCTAAAAAATAGGAAACAAAAAAATAACACTCCAAAAACTCGATGAATGGCAGTCTGCCTCCTCGGGATCACACACTCCCTCACTCGCGCCACAATAAACTTAAACAACACGGACTCAGAAGAACATCGCAATGGCGATAATTGTCAAGGAACCGACATCATTCTGGAAATCGTTTGTAAAGTACTCGGGGTCCTCTCATCAGCACTCGTCGGCACCCTTGCGGCACTCAGTGTCTCACATAAACACGTCTCCCTGGCACGGACCGGGGCACGCGCCCGGCCCCGGCGAGTCGTCCTCGAAGGTGACCATCTTCTCCCTGGACCGGGAGGACGCCATGCCCAGCTTGCGCGCCGCGCCGCTCGGCGGCCTCAGGATGGCGGTGAGCTGGTGCGGGTGGCCCTGGTGCAGCCCCGGCGGCCCCGGCGGCATGGGTATCTTGGGCGGCCCCGGCGGCTCGGGCACCAGCATGCCCTCGTCCTCCTCGGCCACCACGCCCGCCAGGTTGAACTCGCTGACGCTGCGCGGCACGAAGTACTCCATGAGCGGCTCGGGCGACAGGCGGTTGGTGCCGCCCGGCCCCGCCGAGCGCCGGCCCGGGCCGTTGCGTCCGAACTCGTCCGCCATGGGGACGCTGGCCTTGCGGCGGGGGAGGCTGTGCGACATGCGCGGCGGCAGCGGCCCCGCCTGCGGCACGAGCAGGCCGAGCGGCGGCTTGGAGGCGCAGGGCGCCCCCGCCTTCACGTGCACGGGGATGGGGATGAGCGGCGCCGGGGGCGGCGGTCCCGGAGGTGACGGGCGCCACTCGCCAAGGGGCGCGCCGCCCTCCGGGAGCGGATGTCAGGAGGACGCCGTCATGGCCATGACCTCGCACGGCGTGAGCGACGCCCCCGGCGGGTCCGTGTTGGACTCGGAGTCGCTGCAGCTCGGCCGCGGCCTCGCCCTGGTGCGGGTCGGCGCGGGCGCGGGCGCGCCGGGCGCACACTGGCGGCTGAGGCGGCGCAGCAGGCCCACGAACTCGTCCTGCACCAGGGCGAACGTCATCGCGACCAGCGCCATGCCCACCATGATGTAGACGGACGCGGCCAGCACCGACACCACCTCGGCGCGCGGCCCGCGCACCCTGCCCGACGCGCGGCCGGGTATGAGATCGCCGAAGCCGATGGTGCCGAGGGTCGTGAAGCAGAAGTAGGAGCCCTCCACCAGGCTCCAGCCCTCTAGGTAGTGGAACAGGAAGGCGCCGCCCGCGATGTACGCCAGCAGGACGAGAAGGCACAGCAGCACGGGCACCTTGACGGAGCCCAGCGGCGGCGGGGCCGGCCCCGGCTCCGAGGTGGACGCTGAGCCGCCGGACAGGCCCACGCCGTCGCCGGCGCCGCAGTCCACCACGGAGAGGGCGCGGTCCACCTTGAGCGTGAGCTCGTCCGTGGCGCCCAGCTTGGCGCCCAGAGACATCCCCATGTGGCTGTGGTTGAGGTGCGCCTTCATGGAGCTGGTGGCGGCCGGCGCCTTGCCGCTCGAGCTCGTGATCACGGCAGGGCCCTTGCCCTTCGCCTTGCCGAGCTTGCCCGCCTTCCCGGCCGACTTGGCCGCCTGCTTGCCCGCCTTGCCGCCGCTCTTCTGCTTGGCCGCCTTCTCTCCGGGGTCACGTCTGTGGGAAAAGAACAAGGGTTAGTGCGTGCACGTGTCGCAGTTTAGAAACACGACGGCTCGAGGACGTGTGGGGCAGTCCAGGAGCACGTGGACTGTACTCACCTGCTGACGCACATGCGGCTGTAGGCCTTGCGGAAGCTCCTGGCCAGCGACTCGCCCGTGGTGGACAGGTACAGAAGCATCAGGGGGATGCCGATGATGGCGTACGAGATGGACACCAGGCGGCCCCAGGTGGTGCGCGGCGACACGGACCCGTAGCCTGGAACAGAGGGCAAAGAGAACACGTCAGACTCGACTCGGCTGCGCCTGGGCTGCTCGCGCTGGCCAAGCGGACGGCCGAGCGCGTTGGGTTGCGTACCCCGCGGGCGCGCCTCCCGGCCGGCGCGCACAGTGCAATGGAGCTGGCGCGCGTTGTGCGGCCGCACAACCTGCCCTGCCTGCAGGCGCACTGTCCAGTTCAGACAAACCCGGCTTCAGCATGGCTCTAGAAAGGCTCTAGCATGGCTCTAGCATGGCTCTAGCATGGCTCTAGGAAGGCTAGGCTCCGTCGTAGTCATTCTCCACACATCGCGGAGGCACGGGCACGCTGTGACCACTCTCCAGCTTCGCGAATGGCTCCGCAATAGGAATCTTAAAGCCGGAAATAGACATTCCGCAGCAATCTTGGAGCCAAACGCAAGCCGACACCTGGACAACGTGAAGCCATTTTGGAACCATCGGGTGGCCTAACCGGAGACACTTTAGATTCGTTTTGGAGCCAATCTAGCCATCTCAAGGACAACCTAAAGCCTACATGGAGCCCTCGTGGAGCCAACCCGAAAGTGAAGCGCACGTGTGTGTTCAGATTGGCTCTTTGACGTCTCCGCG